AGGCAACATAAGGAGATCTTAACATGTTACATCTGCTGGACAAGTTAATTAGAACAAAAATTAAATTGCTTGAGACAGTATCGAGTATGATCCCCAGTACCAGTTCCTGGAATAGTTCTACTACATCTTACTAATTGCACTCAGTTGAACTTGGCTATAAATTGAAGGGAAAAACCAGATAATCTTCACAGATGAAAAGGCACAAATTAACCTGGTTTGAAGAATGCCTTGGCAGATTTTGTTGTATTGTAATCAAGAAGATAATGAAGAAAATTTAAAAAAAAAATAAAAGAGGGCTTTGAATTTGACCTTCCCAGGCATTTCATCTGGAAAAGAGTTCTCAATCAATGATAGGTTGGTACATTGTAATACCATTTTTTTCACATGTTCCCTCACTGGAGGTGCAGGTGTCCATATACAGGAGATGGGAATGCTTTATCTACTAGCGTTTGTTGATTATGCCTATTTCATTATATGCCAATATTTTCCCCTTTCTCTGTCACTGGAAAACTGTGTGTTCTTTTGGTAATTAGTAAGGTATTGTTAACAGAGACAGTGTATCATGAACTCACATATAGCACACCTAAAAATACCCTCTAGCAATAAAAGGTATTTTCTTTTTTCTTTGCATTTATTTAATTTTGTATTTCACCTCTAGTAATTCCAAAACTTTTTATAATTGAAGAAACAAGGCTTGAAGAGTCTACATAGACATCACAGTTTGGACTTTTCATAGCAGTTCTTAATAAATGAGATACTTGAATAAGAAAGTAATGTTGACAAATATGTGACCTACTTCAAATAGCAGCTTTGCTAATGTCACATACAGGAACATTCCTGCAGCAAAATAAATTTTGACTGTGTCTAGGAATGCAACATAGCCAGGAATGACCAGAACAGCCAGGTCTGGTCAGACTAGACCTCTGAACCAAGTTTCTAATACTTTCTAACAGCCACAGTAATGTGCTCAATATCTTGATTCTCTCAAAAGAGAAAGACAAAACTGCAAGCTTATCTTTAAGTGTAAGGCTGCTTTTGCTTCAGAAAAATAGGGCTTGTGAGACAAAAATATTTGATCAGATATTTACTTTAAAGACAAATCTGAAGACACTTCTAAAAGAAACCTAAGGTGTGACTCAAATACTACTACTTCGTTGTAGAAGAGAAAAAATCATAGTTTACATATTAAAGATTGAATTCTTAAATTTTACATTCTGGGTTGTTCTAAGGAACAATGTGTCCTTCTTAGATGAATGAAATAATGTTACTCACTGTCAGAAAACAAGACATGTAAAAGATAAGAGCTACATTAAGGTCCTACAGAGGAGACAGATTAAGAGATAAACTCAGTAAATACCTGTAGGTACCACAGTAAGATGAGAGAAAAGATGTATGTTCTTTTACAGTGAATGGTATACAGCATTTATTGAAAATTTAAAGATTTCTATGGTCTGAAAATAAAGATTGCAAGGAGATTACCGACAGATAACTGCTGACATTTTTGCTGCATACATGCATCTGAATACAGATCTATTTTCTGATCTGAAACAGAACACAAATATCTGCAGAACTGCCTTTTTAATTTCAAAGCACAATTATACTCAGTACAGGAAGACATAATGAAGTAGAGAAAGTTTAATGGTAGTAGCTGACATCATTGTTTGGATTCACAGACCTCCAGCTGGAGGTGAAATGCAATGCTATAAAAGCAGGATCACTCACTCTGTGTTTGAGAACACTTCTGTGAAGTCAATGTTCTTGCTCCAAATAAAGCTGTGAAAATAGGCCATGGCAAAACTGTGTTCACAGTCTGCTCTATGTCTACTGGAGTGAGAGAAGAGTTTCCATCAACTTGCTGCAGATTCTTCCACCAATTAAAGTTCAAAACAAATAACAGAATCTTTATCCTTACATCTGAGTTGCAGGCAACCTGATATTAAGGTTATCTTCTGCCACCCATGCAGGCAACATATACGGTTCTGTTTACACTACAAGGCTATCTGATCCCAAAGCTAAAGCACATACTTACCACTGTATGTGGACTGTTCTCCAGCTAGTTAATGAGAAAATGTTCTCACATGCTGTCAGTCAGATAATATAGTGGTGTGATATAGTTCAGTGGTTTTCTCCTTGATAGAAATACACTTCTTGAAAATCAGGATGCCCGTTTCAAATCAGGGGATGTAGGGAATTAGCAAACACCAAAAGTAAAACTGTGACCCCCAAATATAAAAAGGAATTTTCTCTAATCCACCAAAAGTTACAAGAGGTTGACTCTTCTTTGGCAGCAGGCAATTGAGGCAGAGGTAAAATGATGAAGATTTTAGAATTAGAATAATTATTTTGTTGTATTCATCTCCTACTCTCATCTGAATAATAATGAATCATTCTAAGTTTCCTGAAGAAAACATAAAAAACACTGAAATTGAGTAGGGAAATACTAATGCCTTATTCAGAGGGCAGTTCCTGATCTAGGAATTCTGTAAAAAGCATTGTGATTGTTTCAAAGAAGGCAGCAAAAAGTTATTAGCTGCAGTTACTATGAAAATGGATTCCTCCTGTATATTGTTTCTTTCTCATCAGCCAGAAGACCCTGGACCTCAATGAGCATGATAAAATAATTCGTTGCTTTTTTGCTGATGATGCTTTTAAAAGAAAAGGGACACATAAATGCCCAAGAATGCAATATAGAAGGAAACACTCAAATGTGCACAAATCCTCAATTGTTATTGAACTAAACATTCTTTTAAGGTGCAGATCTTCCATGATCTTCTTTTCCAAAGAAGTTGGCAATTCAGAGGATTACAATCAGGACATATGATGAATTGTAATTGTTGTCACTGTAGATCTAGAAAAGGAACCTTTCAGTGAAACAACAGCTAGCTAAAGCAGAAAAAAAGCAGTAGCAGAACACCGCTTCTGCTACTCCTTGCTGACCATTATTCTTCAAGGTTCAGCGTTTAACAACGTAGGTAAGAAACAAGTCTCAGAGACTTTTCCAAGAGAGACAATTTTGATCTGTACTTTCTGGATGTTGCTACTTTAGTACTCCTTGTCTCTTGCAGAATTACAGTGCATCATCTATCATTAAAGAGTCGGAAGGACCTTAATGAGCAAAATATAATGTTGGGAGTTTTTTCATTTAGAATGATTGTGTCTAATCTGTGATGCTATATATTACTTAAATAATTCTAGGATAGAAATTATGTGAGGGAGGAGTAATTGCACTACTACTATAATTTCATCTACCAATGGTAAATTAATGATTTACTTATGGTAAACTGTACTCTTGAAACACTGGTAGAAGATGTCCAGACCTTCAGAACCAGTCATTTTGCCTTTGTTATTTTTTGTTAGCTTTCCAGGCAGACACAAGAGGAAATTCAACTTCCACTCAATCCATAAATCAAATCATCCACAAATTAGAAAAGTACAGTTCTAATAAGCATGAGATTATAGTTCCAATTTCAGACCAAATCAAATGTAGTGATAAAAAGTTACTGAGCGCAGTCCATTGTAAATTTAATCAAAAAAGATAAAAGTAACGCAAGTCCAGATATTATGAGGAACTTAACCAGAACTGTGCAACAGCAGAAATCTGGGGAAATTAATTATCTAACTCCAGTTAATGTTCTTTCTGTTTTCTTATTTTTGCTTTTAAACACCAAGACATATCTAGTATCATTCAACTACCCAGAATAAAATTGTGATCACTGAACAGAATTTACAGTAGGAAAAAAAAAAAAATCCACACAACAAAACCCACCCCAAACCCTAAAGAATCAAATGACCCCAGACCTAGGGATAAAAGATACTATTCAAATTAATTATTTCCAGTTAGGCTTGAAAAGATTTGTTATATCCATGAAAATGAGATATAGATAATGACACAGCCAGTCCAAGAAAACTAATATGAATAATTTCTGATCATCTTAACTCTTTCTTTATCGTAACAGGTGATTTCTCACTCTTATTTCACAACAGTTCTTTAACAATGTAGTTTACCTTCAGTCTAACAAATTTATTATTTTTTAATCATTTAAAAGCAAGAGTTTTCAGAATTTTTGAAGCCTACCAACCAGAAATGTAGAGGATTCATCTCATTTGAAGACCAATGCTGTAGAAGCCAACTGATAAGTTTGTACTAAATTTCAACATTTGTATTATTCTTTATTTTGTTGTAATCTACTTCTATTTATACCTTAAATACAGTATCCCTTTAAATAATTCCATCGGCAGATCACATAAACTAGCTATCAAAGACATTTGTTTCAATACATCAGCTTTCCCAAAAACTATACTCTTCTATTACAAGTTTAGCCTAAATAAAGCAACTCGTATGTGAAATTTGAAGGGACAGAAGACACTAAATGCATGGTTTACTGACACTTTCTTGCTCCTGAAGTTTTTATCTGTGAAGAAGAAAGTATTTTAATCCTTTTTAAAACATTTTCATTATGTAAACCTCTATATACAGATAAATCCTTCACAGTTACAATCACACTATCACTTTAGTCAATTCTTTTCATCAGAGCAAATATATTAAAATTTTGCTCCACTACTGCTGCAGAAACAATGTCAGATTACCTACAAATCTTCCCTTCCTCATCTTTACTGATGGTTACATGATGTTTTCTAATTACATTTTTCCAACTTAAAATTAATGTTAGAGTATGCTGATCACACAATGATGAAAGTAGACGTGTACCTTAATTGTTGTAATTTCAAAAAATACAATAGCTAAATTCTAGGCATTTCTGGAAAAACAAAGTTTGGTTTATGCAAAATAAACATTCAGGAACAAGTATATTTTAATAACATTGGTAATGAAATATAAGAACCCTTTGTTGAGCAGCAGAAATATAAATCAGGAATAATTTTGTGTATTTATGATAAATGTATTTCATTACCAAAGACAACAGCAATTCCAGCTTAAACCCACAGACCTATAGTTTTATAAAGTTTTGCTGATAGGCAAAGTAAGCTTTTTTTTTCTATACCTGGAAGTTCTCTCTCTTCAATACTGTATTGCAGAGATCCAAAGGAATAATTAGCTGGACTGATTGCAGGAGTAGAAATAAAACTTGTACAGCCAATGGATGAGTTGATTTCAAAATAATTGTGGCTGTGATTCATTCGGTGAAATTCCAGAGAAGATACTATGGATGTGCGCTGCTTGGGCTACGAGAAAAACAGAAGTTTGGAGTGAAACATACAGACTTTTTGTATAGTTTTCATTAGTTGACATTTAATAAATTTACCTAGAGTTTCTATCTTTTAACTGTTTCTGTTTGGCTCAAAGATTAGTAAAAATCATTTCATATGACAAGCTGTGGTGTGTAGAGATCATTTCCTTCCAAAATTTGGATCAATCTTTATTAGAAAAAATGCATATCTTCATTCTAATCAATTTAATTCAAAATAAAATAGGGTTTTACAGCTTTGAATATAATAACAGCAATCATCTTTTGACAAGAAAAGGAGCTCTTCACCAGCTGCATTGCTGGGTACATCTTGCAAAACTATTAGACCACTGATGCTTGTATAATGAAATTTACAAAATAATATCAAGCACTCATCACTCAAAAACAACCCTCTGCTGTTTATTCAATTTATGAAGGGCTGCATTAAATGTACGAAAACTGAAATATCTAAAAGCTTAGGGGAAAAGTGACAGCTTAAAAAACATATATGAAAATCAAACTTTCTTCATGAGTTTTCACAAAATAGTGAAAAAAATTGATAGTAGTTTGTATCAAACATTTATCTTTTAAGCAAACCTCTTCACTGACCCCTGGCTGTGCTTTGGATTGCAAAGTAGCTTCAGAGCATGAGAAATTCATTCCTTTTGGGTAGATCTACACCATAAGGTATATTACAGGATTGTACAAAACGTGCTCCAACTCCTTATGGCCTTTTCACCATAGGACCACACTAAAGCTATCCCAAATTAAAACTGATTAATTCTATATAGTGTGATCATGAAGTCAGCCACATCTTTTTCACTACACAGATTTGTTCCCATTGCACTGCACTACTTATTAATATAGACATATCCTTAATGCTTGATGTCATGGACTGTAAGCCACAGACCACTGATGGTTTGCAATGTCATGCTAAACAGTCTGTTGCAGCACTCATCTGGCTCCATACTCAGCATATCCTAACTTCACGATTCTCCTTGCTGCTTCAAGACCAATGACTTAAAACATTAAATGTCTCCTCCAAAACGGAGGAGGCCCTGCATCCAGGTGTATAGCTATCTGTATATTTATTTCATGACAGTAAAAAAACATCTCAGAAGTTGCTGCCTTAGATAACTAAAGCTGGGAAAAGTAAATAGAAAAAGAGAGTAAAGGGTGCTTTAACACTTCTTGTTTTAGCGTGTTAGGTTTATTGTAAATATTTGTAAATAGGAATATTTGTAAAGGTCGAGAATTAGCTACTTATTAGTGTCAAGACCAAATTATTGCCCTGGGAACAATAATATCTTCCTTGGATCATGAAGCTGTTCACCATTCCTTACTTAGAACTACCTGTTAAAATACAATCTAGCCCAGTGGAGTAATTTCAGTTTTGTTTGTGGTCTATTTAATTTTTAGGTTATAAGCCCTGCAATGTTTGTGTTACAAACACACAACTAGACTGTTTTCACTAAAAATTCACTCTTTTTATCAGAATGTCAGACAAAAATTTGAATAGACTTAGGTTTGCATAAAGTTGATTGTTTTTTAAAGTTGTGTTGGGCACCATGTGAATTAACAGTGTCCTGTTAAAACTGAGAAAAATTGCAAAGGATAGATCTGGGCATTCATCTAGAACCCATCTATGGTCTACTGAGGGGACTTACTTTCTTTAATAATTAAAAACAGATTCTGCTTTGAAAGGCTGATTCCTAGGGCTAGTAATTTCATGGGAGAATTCAATGAACAGGGACAGACTCCAACATCAAACAGTCTGGTTAAAAGTCATTGTTTGGGACCTAAGCCAAAATAGGTCTCTCATCAGACCAAAAATATTCATGTGTACTAATTAAACTTAAATTGCACACTTTTGCTAGACAACAAATTCATCAATGACCTTATTATTTCTAAAACTGAAAATGATCTCCGGTCATTCAGAAACATGTTCCTGGCCCTTTCCCAAGCAATGGTGTCTTTGTGGTTTTGCAGGAATTCAGCTTCTGAGTTGAAAAGGTGATGTTTCAAGTAATATTGATGTGCAGGATCTCTGATTGTTCCTAAATTGAGACAGTTCCTACTTAAAAAGGCAGCTGGGATGGTCCAGCTCAGTCTTCCTAAGCAGCTTCAACCACTCTAGCCTTTGTCCAGTCAGGTCTCCAGCCACTGCTTCAACTGTGTGCCCCTTTCTTGGAGCCCGAATAGCATCATTTGACACATCATACGGCCTTTTACTGACTTATACCTTTCTTGGAGCCCGAATAGCATCATTTGACGCATCATACGGCCTTTTACTGACTTATGGATGATCAACTGTTTCACTACACCTTAGTGTAGTATTACAACCTACTGCATTATCTTTCAGAAGTTTCAAGAAAACACCTGCAAGGTCTGTGTGGGGGGCAGGGAGAGGGGGGAAACAAACCAAAAACACCCCAAACAGTCTGAAGTGTTTTTAAACCTCAGTTTAGTTTGCAAATGTTCACAGATTCTGAAAATGTGTTTGTCAATAAATAGCTATGATTTGCTCTGGAGAAATGAGTTTATGATATAATGATTTTCAAAGATCATTATGGAAACTATTCAGAAAACATGTTTTCTGTTTGTTCGTGCTAACATGCACCATCTGCTGACCTGGGTGATACAAAATACCTCCTATATTATTTTGGGCTTTGACATTATTAGTAGTAATTCAGACAAACATATCTCAGTTTAATATGTCTTTCCAATCTAAGGATTCTGTACAGAACCTCATGCAGCCTCTAGTGCTCTACAGTGTAACACTTCTGCTATACTGTTTGGAGTTAACAAGGTCCATCTGTCAACATGTGCCAACATTTTTTTTACATAACTACACAGGAATCTAGCATCTGAGCTTTTGTAGCTAACTAGAGGAGCCTTTTGCACCTTTGCTGGGTCCTGTAAAATGTTATGTTGTTGAAGTATGCTAATTATTTATTAATATGTGCTAAGAGAGATGCAGTATATCAGTTTGTGTTGACTGCATCCCTCTGTCTGTGTCTGTATAAAGTACAGTTTGCACAAGAAGTGTAGAAAAAAATGTTTCTTTCTACAATTAGGATTAAATTCAGTTCCAGATTTAGATAACTACATTTACAGCATAGCTATTTACATCTACACCAGGTATCTAAGCTCCCATTACAGTCAGTTGAGACCCAGCCAATACAATCGATAGAGTCCGGAGAACAATTCACCTCACCCCAGTCACCCTGGTATTAGTTCACTTGCCTTAATGTAGATATCTACCATCACTGGAGACACCCTGAGGCATCCCATCTGGCCTCCAGCTGCCATCCAGCAGACTACAGGTCTCCCCTGTATATGCCCTATATCATACCTGACAGCCTCCATGTGCCTGCAAAAGACACCTTTATGGCACCTCACACGACATTAGATGCCTATTTTTAGGCACCTGAACTGAATCCTACATCTATCCTGAGCATGGTGGGAGACCAGATATCCAAATCAGAGATTCTTATACACAGAGATGAAAGGTGTTTTAGTCCCAGACTGAATCCCACCTCTAGCTCTCATGTAGACACACTCTGGATACCTTACTTCATATGTTAGAATATGGAGTCAAATTCCAGACTTACTGACAGAATGTGTAGCCAGCAATTAACATGTCACTTACTGGAGTCTTGTACCTTGGTTTCTTGGACTGCATCTGCCAAAGCCACTTCTAAATTACATTTAACAAGATCTCTTGAGATATGTCCTGAATAATTCTAAGATTACTTAATATAAGGAATACCATAACATCCAGGATATGTAGTACGGGATCAAGGTTTTATAGCTGTGGAGATTGTACAAACACAAAACTTTGTCCCAAAGAGACGATGCTTCCTTTATTCTTTGTACCAAAGCCAGCTTTGTCAGTCACTACATGTCTGCCTCATACAACTCAGAAGGTCTGCACACAGATAACTATTGTGAAACAGTCGCATACTTAGGGCTTAACTTCACCCCAGTATGTATACTACATAACCACATGCAGATTTGTCCTTAAGTAGATTTTCTTTATTCATTACATTCCTGTAGTTAATTTACTTGTTATATATAAATCTCTTTCATGACTGATTTTGTTTACTTTAAAATGTTTCTTCATGGCTATTATTTCAAGTGTCATAATACTGACCTAGAAGACCCTAGACCACCCTAAAATAGCACACCGCATAGGGCCAATGAAGAAACCTTATCACAGAATCATAGAACAGATAGGATTGGAAGGACCCTTTAAAGGCCACCTAGTCCAATTCCCCCTGCAAGGAGCAGGGACATCTTCAACTAGAACAGGTTGCTCAGAGCCCTGTCCAACCTGACCTGGAATGTTTCCAGGGATGGGACATCTACCACCTCTCGGGGCAACCTGTGGCAGTGTTTCACCACCCTCATTGGGAAAAAATTCTTCCTTATATCTAGTCTGAATCTGCCCTCTTTTAATTTAAAATCATTACCCCTTGTCCTATTGCTACAGGCCCTGCTAAAGAGTCTATCCCCATTTTTCTTACAAGCCCTCTTTAAGTACTGGGAGGCTGCAATAAGGTCTCCCCTGGAGCCTTCTCTTCTCCAGGCTGAACAACCCCAGCTCGCTCAGCCTGTCCTTATCAATGAAAAAGCAAAAATATATCAATAAAAATCTTTAAAGATATTACAATAGCAAGATCTAAATAACTTTCAAATCAGGTGTAGTAAGAAGAATATTTTCCTGTTGTCAGTAGTGAACATATCAATCAAAGATACTGCTTTGAACACTGCAAAACAGGAAAAGCATCAAAATACACATACTGAATTGCCTTTCTATTAAAAAGACAAGTAAGGACTGTTGTGGTTTACCCCAGCCGGCAACCAAACCCCACGCAGCCACTCGCTCACTCCCCCACGGTGGGATGGGGGAGAGAATCAGAAGAGTAGAAGTGAGAAAACTCACGGGTTGAGATAAAGACAGTTTAACAGGTAAAGCAAAAGCCGCGCACACAA